TTTTGTCGGTGCACACAAGTTTTTTTTATTAAGAACGAATTCAAGATGGCCAACTGGTGGTATTGTTTTTCATGGTTCCTACCTATTACTATGTAAATAAAATTATTGACAGGGATTGTGATTGACAATATTTTGCTTTCTTTTGGCATTCTCAACTCTAAACGTTAGGAATCCAAAAATCAATTGTAAAACTCTCGTAAATGTAACTCAGATTAACAAATTACTGGATTCTAGCTATTTGCTAATTAAGACACAACTTTGGTTGGATCACTTACTTTGCGGTACATTTCTGAAAGCAACACCCATGTCTTGTCCATTCCAAAAATAGTGAATGGTGGAATCAGGAAATCTGATAATTCCAATGCAATCACCAACTTTGACGTTAAGAAGCTGTAGGGGGTATCCCCCACCAATTAATTTGAAGTCTTTTATAAACTCACTATGCCTGCAAAACAGATTGTAGAAGCAATACATCATCCATTTAAATACTATCGTCAGATTTTACAAAATAAATCCAATGTGCTGAAGGTATTGGAGGCATGAAGTAGAAAAACGAAATTTACTATATTCGAAGCAAATCTTCAATACACATAAAGAAAAAATATTGTATAATAAATCATTAAAATATAACAGTTATACATATTATTGAGGTCACATGTCACATGTTCCTACAAACATCTGATACATCAGTTATATCACATTGTCAGATGCCTTCAATATAGCACTGAGTGCATCTCACTGTTTGCAGCAGTTATGCATATTAAGGAGGATACATGAAACTATTTATACTAAGTAGGTAATTAACATGCATGGATTTCAACCCTTAAGTAACCAGAAATGGTGAATTATCACAAAGCACACCTGTATGTTTTAATTAAAATTTGATGAGTGGCACTCAAGTTATCTGTGGAACATCTATGAATTGGTTAATTTATACAAATTAGGTAATAAGTTATCAAAACATACCCTTTTACTAACCCTAAGCTACACAAACTTGACATAAATTTGATTAAATATTAATATAACTTAAGAAAAATAGTGAGGGTCGTCACCCAAATTAGGATCTTATTTTCATCAGATTAAATAAAATAATGATATGCATCTCTGATTGTGCTGAAAATACCATTAAGTTAAGTTCTTGTGATATTGATACAACAAGATTTGACACATCCATTGATACAGACATATATTGGTATGACATAATTTCTGCATCATGATGGAGCCAAAAAGTTTACCTTTATTTTAACAAGGTTCTAATATAATAATGTTATTCCATTATAGCCAATAAAGGGGCAACAACCTTAACTGTTTTAGCTATGTAAGAGACAAGTTTTATGACAAAGTTCATAAAATAGTATGACAATAAAGATTTCATAGCACATTGTCTCAATTTATGAACATTTCTAGACACAAATTGAATGATTTACTATAATTGACTGCAGACCTTAACATCCAGAATCCGGTTCCTCTGCCCAGTCCTTCACCAGTATAAGTCACATCCTCTGGAATGTCACAATGTATTGTCACACCTAGCATGTTAACAATCATGTATGTGAAATTATACCCTTTCATGTCCACCATTTGTTATTCTTACTAACCACAAAAATAATTTCGATCTAAAATAATTACATAGACTACCGGTACTTGTTTAGTAATATGTCAATAATAATAATGGCATGCAGGAGCTATAACAATTGACATTATCATTTTTTGTCTTTGCACATGTTTGCATGGCCAATACCATTGCTTGCCTGTTAAGAATCTATTAAATCATGGAAGTTCCGAAATCCACAAAGTAGAGAACAGATTTGGTGAACTCCTTTGTGCAGGGTCTGGTCAAACCCTGGGGGCTACCATGTTTGTTTTTATTATTAGAGGACACTTAGGCACATAATCTTTCCATATATGAAATTGCATTTATTAATATGGTAGGATGCAAATACCCAGTGCAATAACACAAAATTATGGCATGCTGTAACTTATGGTGTTATTGTGACAGATGTATAATAATTTATATTATTAAATGATGAGAAACTATACAACCAAATATTTCTCATAATTATTTCTAACCATTTTCTCAAAAAATACTCTCTGTTTTGCACATGTGGGTGTGGCATAATAATTTAGATCAAAATTCGACAACTTCACAATTACCAAACTTACCAAACTCTGGTGAACCAATGTAACGTTCACCCTCAATAAACTTATCAACTTGTATCTCAAATAAATATCCAGTCTCTAATGGTTTGTTGCTGATGAAGACTGCCTTTCTTATACTATCACAGGTTACCCTTGATGCTGTCTTGCAACTGTTCAGCAGCTTTGCATCTTGGGAAGAGTGTGCTATTTTAAAATAATATTCATCCTCACTTGGGGGCTGAAGAATTAGAAAAAAAATATGTGTAGATTTTTACTGCTTTTGATATTTGAGATATATTCACTGGGTTTATAATTATAAATCATGAGTTATACTGTGATTTTACATGTTTACAGACATTTTATTTTGGAGGAAATTAAAACCTAATGAATGAAAAAATAAAATGCCTTCATGATATTACCGGCTTCACATTATTATCATGTTCCACTTCAGTTGAAGTTGGTCATTAATCAGTTAATCAATATTTAATCAATTATAATAATCTATTTATAAATTAATTAATTCTACAAAACTAGAGATGCTCCTATGTGAAGTGAAGTCAATATTTTTTAATGTTTTCTGAATAACTAACTTACAAACATTTCTATCACACGCTTATACTGCCTCATAGATCAATTAAATACTGAATTAGTTTAAAAAAAGTGGATTGCTCAACAAAATAGCAGAATTAATATAGTGTTTAAGGTTGAAGTCTACTCATAATTTTTGACAAAATTGGTCATAAATCGCATACAATGTTCATTAGTTTATTATGTACAATCATGAAGCTAATGTCTCATGGTACAATGAAATAACATTTTTTTGTGTGCTACAGAGTTAAGCTTTTTGAGTAACGTGTCCTAATATTTCTTGTAAAATGCAATTTTTAGAACAATTCCATAGAACACAATATCATTTTTTGACACTTTTTAAAACCCAGAAACCCCAAATGTACTCCATCATTGACATTATATGATTTTTTCAGCCTATGTCACCAGGCTAGATTTTTAGATATTGCGTAATATCTCTGCCATAGGAGCCTGTGGAAAAGTATCATAAAAAATGGTGACTTTCCACTAAAATACAACCATTAATTTCTCAAAAAAAGGGCTGGTGACCCCAAACTTTTTTCAGGTCAAAATCCAAAATGATTAAATTCTGGGTATTTTAATTTATGAGAAGGCTTCCACCTTAAGTGACCTATATAGGCTGTGACTAGTCTTTTGACTCATTGTGCCAGCACAAAAAATTGAAGTCGGGTAAAATGAGCAGAAAATATATTGGTGTTCCTCTTATATTTAACCATAAAGTGTTCCAAATCTGAATCTACTTGTCTATAATTACCTTACTCACCGTGTCATTTAATTGTTCATCTGATGTCTCTTCTTTTTTTGGTGGAGGATTGTTTGTTACTTTTTTTTCATCATCTCTTTTGATTCCCATTGCAGCAGAAAGTTGGAACATCTAAAATGTGAATATACAGAAAATTGGTACTATAAATATTGCTACCAAAGGTAATCACTAGATCAGTAGTTACATTTTCAACTTTCAATCTGAATTTTGTTTTTGATCTTTCTTCTGTAAGAATGATGATAACCATATTAGGAAATGCAATTATGGAACGATTATCAATATTTGCAAATATTGAATGTTTTATTGACCACATTTGCATTTGCTTTGCATAATTTTTCAAATTATAATTATAACTTATAATTAAGTATTCAACTCTGGTATAGCTTGATAGAAGCAATATTTACTGTCTTGTTTAGCTAAGGTTATTTAAATATTTTACTGATTCTGCCAATTCAGTTTTAGTTAAATTTACAGATTAGAAATTAATATTTGTTGTGATTATATCAAGACAATAAATAGAGACATTCCGATGCGCATACGAGAACGGAACGAGAACGGATACGTCACCGCTTTGTGCATGACCTCCGCGCGAACCAATGACGTCATTGGTTCCCTGGTCGTACGGCAGTCGTTTTGAACGTGATCAAGGTGACTGACTCGTAGTTGATTTCCGAGAGCTTTTCTCGTTGTCAATTTTGATTAATTTTCACTGACATTGATAAAACGTTTTATATTAGAGTAATTTTGTATATTTATGATAAAATAAGAAATATTGGATGCAGTTTAGCTGATATTTATACCCACTGAAAACGTATGACATTGATCTGCTGAAAGACGTCGGCAAACAGGCCTGGGACCTCAGCAGAGAGTGGATGGAAATAGCGAGAGCTCTGTCAAATGTCTGTGAACTAACTACTAATTCTGATTCAGGACGTGAAATGACATAACAAATTTTATTGGATAATATGGTTGCCCAATGATAGACGGATTGACATGGTTCAGATGGTTCTGTTTCAATTACATTCCCGTTGTGGGCGCTTGTACTTAATCGTTTTCTGACACCCGAGAACGTAACGCAAACGAAAGTAGAACATCACGTTACGTTCTCGTTACGTACGCAAATCTTAAACTCTCTATTATGTGATGTCACTGTTCCCATCAAGATGCAGAAATTAATGTTTTATTTTGGTGCATTTTTAGCACTAAAAAGGACGACATTTCATAATTATTCTGGAACACAAGTGTCTCATTTATGCAAATTTCAGTATCTCAGTGTTTTTAGCTCGCTCCTGATCACTGATCAGCAAAAAAACCCTGAAAATAAGTTTTTGTCTTATATTTACATTATTGCTGAAATAATGTGAGTTTCTGCTTCCTTTTTTTGTAATTTTGAACTAGTTTCAAAATGTTCCCCTAATTATTCACATCCAGCACTGTTATTGAAGTTGATTGTTATGCGATACATCACATCACTTAATTGGTCCAGACATGTATGGGATACATTAATATAGTCATATATGGGCATTCTTTAAAACACTATGGCTACCAGTCAGCCATTTAGAATTCAATCTTCAAAACAAAATCATGTACATTTGTCATAAACAAACTGAAAAAAAGATTCTCTACCTCCTCACGCTTATCCATGTAATATGATTCGCAGATATCAAACATAAATTTGACAACTCCTTCTTTTCCCAGAGCACTTGAGAAAACCAGACTAGCATCGCTATAGTTCCATATAATACTTAACACACCATAGAATATGGCAAATATCTGGTTATCCTTGTATACAAGTTCTCTGTCCTTTATTAAATCTGTCAAAATCTTCATCAATAACTCTATATTGAGATATAAAATAAATTCATGTAAAGGTTGAAGCCTACTCATAAATTAAAATACCCAGAATTTATTCATTTTGCAACTGTACTCCAAGGCAATACGAAGATATTGACCCATAAAAGTTGGGGGTCACCAGCCATTTTCTCGAGAAAATGATGTTTGTATTTTAGTGGAAAGTCGCCATTTTGACACTATTATAACACTTTTACCATAGCTTCCTATGGCAGAGATATTCTGCAATATCTCAAAATCTAGCCTGGTGACATAGGCTGAAAAAATCATATATTTGTTAATGATGGAGTATTTTTGTTCTGAATTATTTAAAATATCTGGGTTTTAAAAAGTGTCACAAAATGCAATTTTTTTTTAACAAAAAACACAATGAGATAAACTGATATAATTGCACATACTCTCATACTCTCAGTTTCATGCCAATAAACAACATTGTATATGTAATCCAAATGGAAAACGAGGTGATGAGATTATGGCATTTTAAGCTCTGTCTCTGTCCTCACCTGCAATACCATTGTCAACAAGACTGTCAGCAACAGCTTCTCGTTCTTCTCTGGTCAGATTATTACACCCATTTGTTACAATGGCGTTTACAATTTGAGTCATTTCGTCTGACACAAAGCTGTCCATAGCATCCAATACACACAACATGTCACGTACAAACTCCAAAGCATCAACAAATATCTTGGAAACTGAAGAAAAAAAATTAGCTAATGAATATTTGAAGAATGATACAAATAAAATACCGGAATATGCAAATGACTCAACAAAAAAATAATTTTATCATGTTTAGGGTAATAATACAAGCATAATTTTGAATTATTGGTGACAAGAATTCTGACTTTAAAAATAGTAAGTTACTATGAAAAGACTAGGAGTTATACTCAGACTGTATTGTACATCTAAATTTATTTTAATATGCATTCATTATCGTTAATGGAAAGGTAAGTTCATAACAAAGCATTCATCATAATTTCTCAATTTATTTGGCACCTAAGTAAAACACATGTAGTCAAATATGATTTTTATGTTCACCTACAATTCTATTACATGTATTATCAAATTCAGCATTTGTTGTCAAAATGATATTCCACAATATTGAGCTACATATCCCAAAACAATCATATCTTGACAGTATGTAGTGAATTAGTGAAACTCGACACTGGTGCAGTCAAACCTGTCTAAACTGAACACTAGTACAGTCAAACCTGTCTAAACTGAACACTAGTACAGTCAAAC